TGAGTCCATTTCTGGTGATAACTGGATGATACATCATGGGGAATTTTAGGGTAATTCCTGAAAAGATGGGTGTTGTGGCGCTTCATGCCAGCTGCAGAATTTAGGTGTCACATAGGTGCACACCTGCCTCTTGTTGTTTGGCGGATACAGTGATCAATGGGAATGGGATAGCAGACATCAGTGTCATCTGGGCTTGAAAATCTCTACGGCCCGGGATGGGAGAAGGGTAAGAGAGAAATACATACAGAGGAGGTGAGTTAGAATGTTGAAAAGAAGGTGATTAGATAACATCCCTTCCTCTTGATGGCATACATGTGTTGTCTTTGAAGTTTTGACTCTGGGAATGAAGCTATATGAGAGAGGTGGGATAGAAAAAATTATGTGGAACAGGTAGGGCAAAGTGGCCAGCACCCTAGGACTGGAATTGAAAGGGTGATGAGTGATGCCATGTTTTTCAGGGTCTTGGAGGGAGAATGTGTTTGACCACAAGAATATTGCCCCAGTACTGTGGTTTGAAAACTGCAGCTCATGAGCCACATATGGCTCTTATGCCCCTTGAGTGTGGCTTTTCCACACAGCACCACATACGGGCATGAATACATTGCGATTGAATCTTCGTGGCCCCTGCGCAGAAGTCGGTTTTCAAGAAGTACTTGTTGATATTTGGCAGTTTTGAATAATGAGTTTTCTCACCACTGCCCCCAGAAGACCAGTGTCGAATCACTCACATTTCTCTTCAGGGTAAACATTTATCTGTACCCTATGTTGGTGACACCCATAGTGTTGACCCTAAATGTGAGGACCTGAGGTCAGGTATAATCAATCTGGGCATCTGCTCTATTGCTGTGGGAAGATACAGTATCCGACAGTATCAGTAGGAATATAAGGAGAGAGTGACTCTGATGGATGCAAGGCCTGCTATTTTCTGTGATGTGGGAGTGGAGGGAGGAGATGGATGTGGAGAGTGGGAAGTATGATGAAATTAAAGCCTAGGAGAGAAGCTGATCATGGACTGAACTGTCCCCATTACGACAGATATGAACTTTGAGGACGTGGCCATTGCCTTCTCTGAGGAGGAGTGGGGGCTCCTTGATGAGGCTCAGAGACTTCTTTACTGCGATGTGATGCTGGAAGTGTTTGCACTTGTCTCATCTGTAGGTAAGACCTTCTCATATGTTCTAGTGTTACCATGTGATGTCCTGTCTTCCTTTATTCTCAAAACATAGCTTTCTCTCTCCCACAGCCAGACAGCCAGTCCTAGCGTTCTGCTGGTTTCTGCCTCTGTCTTTTCAAACATGCTGTGGCTGCCTATGCTGAGCTGTGTGGAGGGTCTTGACCAATGGACTCCATGAACATCCCTGACATGTTGCCCCAAAAAGTGCAGAAAGTGTCTTGGAGTCTTACCGGCAACTTAATGGGTCCCATCTTCCTCTTCCTCTCCCTGGGAGGATGACAATATGCACAATCATTCACTTCTTCCCCCTTCCTCTAGGAAAGGTGCTTTATGGCAG